GGGTATAATGGAGCATTCTCTAGTCCTTAAAATTATTAACAAAAACGAGATTCTTCAATCCCTTTAAAATTATGTTATTTTATTAATCTATGAATATGATATATATTTTTTAATACTTTAGTGTCGAAATATAGATTATGATATCACTGTGATGACTTTCATTAACATGCAGAAATTGATATATTTTACCTGAAAAGGCAATCGTAAATGGGATAATGAGCATCATTATATAGATCAACAACATACCCAAAAAATTCAGTATTTGAACCACACCAATAACTTTGTATAAGACGTTGGTATAAAAATAATTTTTGGGTAAGGTGTAAAGCTCATATCTAAATACTAATGCTACTATTGAACGACAGTTTTTGTAGTTCGTGTTGTTTTCTTTGAATTTAATGTTAGAATTTAAACGCCATTATTACAAATGTAATTTCAATGTTTTAAGCCCCGAAATTGTAAAGCAGCTTTTTAGTACTTAAAAAAACATCTATCTCACCTTATTGGAATTTAAACTCAACTTGAAAGATTAACACCTAGAATGTGCCCTACTCTCTGATCTCTCGGGTAACTAGGTCAGAAAAATTAAGATTTCAGTAAGAGGTACCTATCTTTTTTTTGTTTATAGTTTGTTTTTTTATACACTGAAAGCTTACCGTCAAACTTCTCCAACATAGAATCACCATATATTTGCCAGTATGGAATATAAATGATTTTCCATATTCTCCAGTACTTCCAATCTACTGAACTCCACATATCTGTGTGTGCTGGGTACATATTTGCATGATACAGTACCCCAACACCAATCATAAATACAAATAAAATTCCAATGAATCGAAAGAGATCCTTTAACTGAAAATGCATCATAATGTGATTAGCAAATAGACAAAAAAACATAATAATAGTCTCTTTCTAATAAAAGTCATTTTCACTAAAAAGTGATATTTACTACATTGTACTAGTCAACAAAAGTAACGATACACAAGTTTGAACTCCAATATATCATAAAATATAATAAAAAGGAAAAACAGTCTAATTATCCAATTAAAAAAATCATTTGCAAAGCAAATGCAAATGATTAAAAGAATCTGACCAAATGGGAAAGTGAAAAAAATACCGTGTAAATGAACACAGGGGTCAAATATACTTTGCGGAAAATGATGACAAAAGTCGGCACTTTATTTCGAAGATGAGAATTAAGCATTCAAATATCTGCAAAGGCATTCAAAATGTTAAGCAGACCAAGTTTAAAGTTTTAAGTTCTAATATCGATTTTTCAATTTGTGGGTGAAGTTCTAGTATAGTACAATAAAAGAAAATAAAAATGTCCCATCGAAAACACTTGGCTTCACTCCATTTTTTCAGAAATGGACACTTATTTTCACTATAACGTAACACTTAGTATCATAAAGATCAAAATGTAAAATGAAGATGTGGGTTTTCACTTTCTTAACAGCAGCGTGATAAGATCTCGATATTACTATAGTTAGCGAAGACTCACAGTTGTACACATTTTTAAAGGCTAAAAGTTACCCCGTGTAAATCTACATGTATCGTCATCTTTGTAATTACGTAATGTCGACTTAGCTTATCTATTCGAGCCCAACACGAATGCCTGTGATATTAATGTTCAAAGAAAATTGAAATTGAACAAAATATCAAAGCTTAGAAAAATATATAAAATTAAGATAAAATAAAATTCCGCAAAATTTCATGAAGGATTTTAACACATTGACGCCTCGTTAAATATTACGTCATACGAATAAAATCTCCCAAGCTGAAAGTTATCACTTTTCTTGTACAGCTCAAATTTTGAAAATGCATCTTTAAAAGGGAGTTTTTGAAATATTTGTTGTTCATTTTCTTATATATTGCCTCAATGGCACATTAATGAAATGCAGCAAGTCAATATGGCAGCTTACTCCTTAGTTACGACAACCAACTGCGGATTTTACGTCAAATAGTAGCCAATAAAATAAATTGTAAATTGAAAATTGAAAATGTTTGGGTTGAAAATCATATGGATGAAAAACATTACCGTGTATGTTTTATTAGAATCGAAATAATTCATCCAAGCCATAGATGTGTTGTCATTTTTACATAGCTAATGCTCGGGATGAAAATCAGATATAAAGGCCACGGGCATGTGAACATTTTTGGCAAATTTATGACTTGCATGATCTATTTCAACCCATAAACACAAAATAGCTAAGAGAGTCGTTATGAATAAACAATAAATCAACACTAAATCGTCCATAGTATATAGTATCTAAAAGTTAATAGAAACAAACAAAGATCTGACATTAATAGCTAATTCCATAAATAACTAAACGCATTAAGATACCGGTTGTTTTTGCCATCGTATTTTTTTGCGATTTGATGAAAAAATGGGGAGGTTAAATTTTCACTGTGTATAAGTTTTGATAAATGGAAAAATACACGCGAAAAAATTCCTGTATTGTATTTTTAAAGATGTAAACAACATAAAATGAATTAAATAAGAGATAATCGATTACAAATAAATACAATTACTACAAACTGAAATATATAGAATTCGGAGTTCGGAATATGACAACAATCAATAGATCGTCGCTAATTAACATTTTGAACTAGTCACATGTAACTGTGTTGCCGAAAGGTATAATATGTATGATTAGCCAATTTAATGATTATGAAAACAGAGATTCTAATTGAATATGCACATTTTGGTGATCTGTCAATGAACACAAAAGGCTTATTTGATATATAATTTAATTAACTTTTAGGATGAAAATAGCTTACATATTAATTTGGCGTATACTCGATAGTTAACAATATAATGACTATATATGTATGAAACGCTGAAACAGCGATACATCTTGGAATTTACATGGAAACTTACGAGGGGTCAAATTTCGCGATCTTTTGCGTCCGCGAACAAAGTGAAAATTAAGGACACGAGAAAATAAAACCCGATATACGATAAGACATGACGACAAAAGGCGATGATCATGATTAAGACAGGCATATGAGCATATAGCAGGATTATAACATTTTTGTTCTTAAAAAAATAACGCGCCAAAAACTATTCTATCGGTTCTTGCACACGAAAAAATATGCAACATATGATTTCATATGTTTTCATGTGTTCAAAAACTTCATAGAATATTTATTAAAGCAACGTTATAATTAGTACATGAATGTATAATAATATGTAAGGCTCAAACCAACCATATACAGAAAAATGAACAATTTTAGTATTTATTGAACCTATGAATAACAAAATTGTCCCTTAAATACGAGACGCAACTGTAGTATAGCGAACCAAATAACATTCCATAACAAAAAGCAAGCGTAACATGTCCATCACGGGAGGAAAATTTACATTTAAATTTTAAATGTTCCAATTGCCTTAGTTTTTAAAATATTGCTTTCCTGAAATCCTATGAAATGTGACACAACCAATTCTGCAATAATCGTATTCTTTATAATACGGTGTAATCATTCGAAATGCCTAATTGTTCAAAATGTTCCTCAAACGACGGAATATATATATTTTTATACAGAAATACAAAATATTGAATGATCTGAAGCATTGCTAATTAAGTCAATAATGGGAGATGCACAACATCAATATGTGTGCAAACTATCAAGGAAGTTTAAAAGATCTGGTTCGAAAAACGCAAGACAATCGTGAGTGATCTCGGATCCTGGCTCAATATTGGCACCCGTTGTTCATGACAAGTACTAAACCGATGATAAATCGCATTTGTTAAATTCACAACCGACCAGAGAGGGCGGGACTCTGGCTATGGCAATTTGAACATAATATCTATGGTCATTTGTGATACAAATAACTAATTCATGATATGATACACACGCTCTTGAAATTCGTATCAACTAGGAAATGTATAATTAATTTGTAGACGCCGCTTGAATACAGTATTCGTTACTGCTACATAGAAATGAAAGTTAAACATAAATAATGTTTTACACAAAATTCGTATAGATAAGATATCACGTTTACAGATAAATCTTACTTCATTTTTCGACCGTATAACAAAACACATGGTTATCACTTATAAGTGTCCATTTAAAACATATGTAAAAACTAATCAAATTTATAATTCAATACGCCAGATGGACATTTCATCCCCTAAATATGAATCAGTGGCACTCGAATCAACAAAGTTGAATGCAAAAAATCAAAAACGAAGTTGAGGAGGATCAGACATGCAACAAAGGTTGATTTAATCTACATTTATGTAATGAATGCACAGCTTGTAATTTCGTACACAAGACGTGCGAAATAATGTACGTGTGCATGTAATTGAGATTCAATAAAGGTGTGCAATTCGAAAAGTAAGAAGGCCCATTTGATAGTGCAATTGAAGAACATTGAATACCAACATTTTCGTAAAGAGAGTGCAAAATCTGGCTAAAACTATCTATGCCATGAGATAGAAACCCTTTAGTATTTCAAACAAATTAAACATTGTTTGAACAGTCAATGTACGAAAAAAAAAAAACGTTAAAGTAGGTTTTGGTTGCATCATCTTTCCACTATTTATATTTTTCAAAGAGCTACCAAAATAACAAAGAAATTTACACTAAACAGTTAATAGACAGCAAACGTTAAACGTGAAATATTACTTGATTGGTCCAAGTTACCAGTTGATAAATTAATAAATTAAAAGAAACTAAGATTCCAATTCCCTCGGGCAAGTTGACCTTAGATGAATTTGGCTATTTCTTCGGTTCATTTTTGTCATATTATTTTTAACGATTTTTTGTATATTTACAAATGCTTGCGTTGAAATTTAAGGTTTTAGCGTTCCTGATGAAGGTAAATCTAGAAAGGCGCTTAGGACGCACGAATATTATATGAATGCGAGATTCGATATGAAATCACTCTGACCTGCAATTTATTCCCTAAGGTTGTTTTTCGATGGAAATTACATGCATGAATGTCATAATTAATGTGAATGTAGGCAGTGACTGATTACTTTATAGTGACATACCATTTCTTTGATCATGATAATTTTTGGCCCAAGTTTCCTTGACATCAATAGGACATGAAGAAATCGCATGTACATCGCAAACAGACTCATGCTGAAAAAACGTCTGTAAGTCTTGTTTGTTTTTGTTGACCTGAACACACGAACAAATATAGCCACGATAGTCAGCGTATATGAAAGAACATCTAGGATATTCCAGAAATTAAATAAATATTTCTTCAGTCTATACCACCGTGAATGACGTAATGTGTTTTCATGTGTAGATTTACTCATCTTCGTTACAAAACTTGCATCTTTCCAAACCTGAAAACAAAAAAATACAAACACATTATTTCTGACGATAATACATCTGATAATTGGGTGATTCAATATTTCATGGAATACTCGTTGTGTTATTCAGTTAATTCAAGTTGTCTATTTCGGTTTCTTATACATTGCTTTCAGGGAAACTTTAAAAAGGTGGGGGTTAATGTTTCTAATATTGGTTTAAAGATATGTTTTCAACAGATGAACACATTTTTATTTTCTTCGACTACAATCAAACCAATTTTTGTTTCTTACCATGTCGAAACAGAATTCTTTTTTCAATGCTCAGGAAGTGAAGGTTGTTTGTATTCATATGCAATCAGTAGTAGTAAATACAGCTTTTAATGGTATAAAGATAAGTTGAAATTTATGACACTGCAATCCCTTGTTTTATAAGAGATGCGGAAGACACAAAAATAATAGTCAAACTTATTAATACAAACTGGCAACGCCCTGAGAAAACGAAAAACGACAATAAGACCAACAACAGTTTACAATACGCAACATAAAATCAAAAGAGTGAGCAACACGAACCTTACCAAAACTAAGAGGAATTTTAGGTGCTCCGGAAGGGTGCGCAGATCCTCTTCACCTGTGTCACCGTCATATTGATCATGTAAGTAAAATCGGGTAATGTCGAGTGCTATAGTTGAAATAAATCCTTGATCATCTGTGACACAGATATTCCAAAACGACTAACTAACTTGTATCGTATGATAACTTTTACTTCACCACTTGGAGCCCTTCATGTAATTGTTTTGATGCCAGCAGCAAACCCATTATAAAGTAAACATGATAGAAAATTCAAGCTCTGGAATATCTTTGGCTTTCAAATATTTGGCTTTGAGCGTTCCTGATGAAGGTAAATCCAGAAAAGCGCTTTGGACGCATGAAATTTATAACGTATTGTTTTCTTTTTTTTTACAGCACTGAGTCGATAACTCTGCTGGTGGATTATAAGTCCCTGAGGGTATCATCAGCTCAGTAGTCAGTACTTCGGTACTGACATGATTTATCAAAAATTATCTAAAATTGCCAGTTTATACATTTTGAAATTATACAGAAACTAAGGTTTCAACTCCCTCAGGCAAAGTTGGCCTTAGATGGATTTTGTTATTTTTTATGTCCTTTTTGGTTGATAGGTCTTCAACGTTTTCGGTCCTTGTACATCCTTGGCTTTCAAATATTCGGCTTAGAGCGTTCCTGATGAAGGTAAATCTAGAAAAGCGCTTCGGACGCATGAAATTTATAGCGTGTTGTTTTCATTTTTTTATCAACTGGTAGATATAAAACTTCATATATATGCAACCGATGCTGTAATTTTGCTACATAAAAATGGTTTGTTCATATGTCATTGGGAAGTTGAAATAATCTCTTATGTCGTAAAAGTGAATTATCGACCGAGCCTTATTGTCAATTTCTAGATGTCAAGATACAAAAATGTATGAGGCACACTCTACTGTTTCTGCTGTACCTTTCATTTGAAGTGCGATGGGATAGATGATTTCCACAATGTCTCGAAACATTACATTATTTAATGAAACAACATTTTCTAATAGTATATAGCGGAACGTGAAGTTAAAGGATATAGTGATACTTTTTTTAAATTTTTTTTTTAGAATCTCGTGTGAACTCTGCATCATATGAACAAAGGAACATTTCGGCAAAAAAAAGGAGCACAGTTGGTGTCCATGAGAAATTCGATTATTTGCCTAAAATTACGCCAATCAAACGTAACAAATATGCTGTCAATGAAGAAATCAACCAACTTGCCAATGTCAGTTTCATAGTATTTGTTTGTTTGAATCTGAGTTATTTTTTCAAAGTGTGATTTGATCCTCTCTAAATCAAGATATTTGTATCTACGTTTATCATTCCATTTTAAGTACCTTTGCATGTTTTCAACTCAGTACAATATCCCAATCAGAAGATGATAGTTTAGTTAAGAGACTGCATCTTGTTCATTAGGGGATACTGGACTCGTCTCTTTGTCAATAAGGCTCATATTTCAGATCAAAACTTTTACAAAATGTTTTTATAAACAAATGAGTTTATTTTTGGTAGTATAGTCTAACTAGGTTGAAGTTGTGAACATATATTTAATCCGCATAATACTCCCCCCCTGTAACGAACTATGGATAATAAAAGTTCTTGGGAACAAACATTACATAATATTATTTCCACCTTCATAAGATATTTTCCTGAAACTAAAACGTCATATGGTTTCATAATATTTGTTCCTTTAAAGATTACACCTGATTACATCTTAATTAATGTTCACCTCACATGCAATTAACCTGTACATGTAGTACAAACAAAGAACATGAAGAATGGAGTCTGAGGAATACAACACTTTTATAATATAGCCAATATTCCAATATGCCTGGAACTTTTATAGTACAACAAATATTCCTAGAACTTTTATAATATAACAAATATTCCTGGAACTTTTTATAATATAACAAATTTTCCTCAGAACTTTTATAATATAACAAATATTCCTGAGAACTTTTAGCATATAACAAAAGTTCCATAGGGAACTTTCCTTATGTAATATCTTATCCTTTGTGAAGGAAATTTTCTAATAGCATTGGATAAAATATTATATAAGGAAAGTTCCTAATGGAACTTTTGTTATATGATAAAAGTTCATTGGAACAAATATTATGGGGGAACTTATATTCTGCCACAAAGTAAGTGAAAAATGCTAATTCACATCCAGCTAAGTATGCTGATATTATAAAAGACCTTCATTTGTTAAAGTTAAGGATTGGAAATACGTGTATGAATAGTAGAAAAGTCTTTAGTTTTATGTTATAGAAAAAAGAAAGAAACTTAGATATTCTGTACTCTAAACAGATCTTTGGCATTTTTAACTATCAACGTATGCATCTGATTCACAACGCTAACATATTATGTAGTTTCACAGTAACTCTGAAGCCCGGCTTTGATTGATGATAAAATTGATGTTTATACTTTGATAAAGGTTACACATGGGGCACTTGGGAGACCCAGTAATATATAGTTGTTTGTAAGAATACTTTTTAGATATCATTTAAGCATATGGTTTAGTTGAAATGCATGTATATTGTTTATTATAATACAAAGTTTTCAAATGTATATGCATCTGAGTAGATAGACCTCAGGGGAGGATGCTGGTTTCAAAGAAAATGGGGCGTAATTGTCAAAATTGTTTTTTTTTAAAGATACTGGCGACCTTAGCAAGGCGAAATGTTCTAACGATTTTGAAAAAAAAAAGTTTCTTTTTTTTCGATGAAAGGGTACGCCTTTTACGTCTTTCTGAATCCCCCACTTGACACTGTCATATGTCTTTTTATTAAAGGAACATTATTTTGATTTTTGCTCTCCGTCTTGTTGGTCAATCACTGAAATGTCAAGTATGCATTATAAAAATTAAAGAAAATCGTTTAAGGACAAAACAAAGCAAGTCAGGTATGTCAATATGGAGTAAAGCATTTTATGTAATGCTTTGGATTTTTCGAGCAACTCTGATCTTGGATTTAATCTTTTTTTAATACAGATATACCAAAATGTGTTCATATTGTTTTACATTTTATTTTATGATTGGTCAATATTGCCACAAATAATTTACTTTTCTTTCCTTTTCCTTTAATCTTGAAGTGGCCTATTCGTTATGGATTTCATATGTTCATTGTTGTCTATCTCACAGTTGCATTGCATATACATGTTCAAGGCTTTGAATTGACATTAACAATAAAATATGATGTTTGATGGATAATACATTGACGAGATGCTTTCCTTGTCAAAATATCTGGTCTCACTGCGTGGAGGGGGGGGGGGGGGGGGGGGGGGGTGGTGATTAAATTTCATTTCTTTTTACTCGTATGATTGTTTATTTGTATACATATTTATGATTTTTGAGTGGTGCTGGATATATCACCGTAACATTGTAAAAATTGTGTTATGCAGCAACACTTAAAGAGAATTTGGTGTCATTTATTATAATCATTGTCTGTCTATAGCTAGTAACATAGCATTATTATATATACCAGGTAATAAATTATTATCATACACTCATAAAAAATAATGGTATAATTGTACCTCTTGATAAAACCGTAATTTGTACATATATCTATTCATTACATCTGAAGAATTGTCCTAGCCGTGTGATTTAATTTTCCGGTTATTATTGCATGCCTTTCTGTAACGTAATCGCATTGCACTTAGCAAATTCCGGAAAATACACCTCAATTGAAGGTTTTTAGTGAAAAATATAACGAAGTAGGATACACAAAAATTATTGGGAAACAGGACAATATATTATGAAAATGCAAAACAATTAAAACAATAAATGCATTTTTTGTGAGTTTTTAAAATAGTTCTTGTCTGTATGTATTCTGCTGAAATATATGATAAAAATAACATAACATGTCATTTTTCCTGTTAGACCCTTTCTAGGCCCTAGGTCATGATATCAGCCCAAGAGCCGAAAGGTATATTGGGCTTATATATTTGACATAATATACTAGGCAAAAAAAAGAAACGTTACATGTTTGTAAGATCATTTTTGTTTTTTATAACAAAAAAGTAAAGTTAGCTTACATCATTTTAAAGAAAACAATAACAAGTTTTCTCTACTTGAAACAATATTGCACATTTTGGGACAATTTTAACAGGACGAGTACAAAATTCAAGTTAACATGTCAAAACCATGTATGGCCACCTCTTGCATTTATGACCGCCTGCCACCTCCGTCGCATTGAATCAATTAGACGTCGAATAAAGTCTTGCGGGGTGTTGTCTATTCCCTGAAAAGTGCTGTTCGGAGCTGGATGAGCGTTTCCAGGGGATTTTGGCTATTTCTGACACATCGTCCAAATTCGTCCCAAATACTGACGATAAATCTGAAGACATTGCTGGCCATGGCAACACAAGAATATGATTATTCCCCAAAAAGTTCATCGAAATGTGTGCCACGTGACAACGGGCGTTGTCCTGCTGAAAAACGTGGTTAAAACGATGCATTCGGAGAAACGGGAGAACAACTGGAGCCAAAATTTCGTCCCTATACCTTGTTGCATTTAGGTAACCATCAATGATTTTGAGCTCGGTGCGTTCCTGGTAGATTATTCCGCCATCACCAAACCGATCTGTTGCATGTACGCATGCATTAGAAAATCGTTCATTGCGCATCCGGTAGACCCTGGCTCTGCCGTCGCTAAATTAAAAGTTGAATTTCGATTCATCAGTAAAAAGAACCTGTCTCCATGTTATCCTATTCAATCGAATCCGTACACGAGTCCATTGAAGTCGCACCACCCTGTAACGCTGCGCAATGATAGGTCCCTTCAATGGACGACGTGCTCTTAGACAAACTTGACGCAATCGGTTACGAACTGTTTGGGCATATTTTCTGTTGTTATTTCTTCCGTGGGTTTTTCGTGCTGTTTACAAACCGATTCCGGTGATAAATAATGCGGATGTGCCTGTCATGACGTAAAGTCGTTTCACATGGCCTGCCACTAAGGAAACGATCATTTGTCGTGCCAGTATCTCTTAGACGAGTCCTCAACTATAAGAGGAAAACAAAAGAACAACAGGAACACCGAAGTGCAACAAAAACAAACGCCAACACACATAAACACTATTTGATAACAACTGCCATATTCCTGACTTGGTACAGGACATTTTAAGAAAAAAATGGTGGGTTGAACCTTGTTTCATGGCATGCCAACCTCCCGCTTTATGACAATGTTAAAAAGAATCGCTAAAACACACGAAAGAACATTCATAACAGAGATACGCACAAACAAATAATATAATAGTCGACACAACATGCAAACCACAGAACAACAACGAACATATTCCATCAACGAAAAACACCACAGGATATCAAAAACAGTGACGCGCTTACGTAACTAACATGCAATCTCTAACTTTAATTTATACAATTTTTTTCACAATATTTGTCAAAACAATTTTCATGACAATGATGGTATGAAAAGGCAATTTTATAGTTATTTGGACTACAAACGATAAGACATAACAGATTATCCAACCGAAGCCATAACAGAAACATCAAAATAAATCCATTAATGTTGGATGTACAAAACACCGAGACACGCCGCACAGGAATGCAAATTCACATTCTAAACATAACTTTATCAACTGAAATGTCTGCAGAGACCATTCTTGTACATGATCCTGAATTAAAGAAAATTAGAACTGAGTGCCTAACGAAAAAATTATTTTGATTAAGTCGATGGACACGTTGTCATTTTGTAAACTGGGAGAAAATAGATGTTTTATATTACTACACCAGGAATCAATTAACGATATGATAACCAACCTGGATATCAAATATTGAAGAAAACCGAGAACTGAAAGTTTGAATTATTTTCGGCGGAATTTAGAAAAATGGCGACCGACGAATTTATTGTGATACCATGAATTTATTCAAGGTATCATGTTCTACGTAGATATAAAATTTCATGTAATCCCGGTCACTTTATTTTTTGCGTATGTGTACAACGAGGATCAATAAGAAGTAGCATTATACACCTATTTCTGTTGATATCCCAGCACATTTGTGAATATTTAAGATAAACTATTTTTTACAGCAATGTTTTCCCCAGTTAATTATAATTTTATTATCTACATATGAAGCACAATAACTGTTTTGTTACACTTCTACTCATACTTTTGCAGATTTTGTGTTAATAATAAGCGTTTCAATACATGTTTATCGTCTTCGGGAATGTCTCCAATTAGTTACAGATATGCGTTGCATTTGAAGTCTTTAATTGATTACATTCTGCGTTTACAAGATTTGTTGATGGACCGACGGACATACATTAGGTAGACGAACAGACACACACTATAGTAACCCGCATTCCGATGTGGCACCATAATATTTTTTGTAATATGCTCTAGACAGATAAATTATTATTACAGATCATACCGCATTTCTGTACTCCTCAAGAATGTCTCCTACTAGATACAAATAAACAACTTTCTCGTTGAAACCAATTGAGACTACTCCCTGAAATACATCCATTTGTAAGAGGAAGTTACTGTAACATACCAAAGCACCAAAGAAAAATACCTAAAAGTATTCAAACAAAATAAATCAAAAAAGTGAAAGGTAATATGTAGTCATAATATAAAGTAAAACAATACTAAGTCTTAATGTTAAAAAAGGAGACAGGCTCGATTGACAATGATATAACTGTCCCATTAGAGACTGAATCATTTCGTGTAGGCACATATATGTCAACGTACGCCCTTCAACATATTTAAAGAGACAAATGTAGATATACCATCATATGGAACACATTTCTGTTATATTACATGAACTTTCCAATCAAATGTGACAGAACACAACTAAGATATTTTTAAATAAAGCAGTTTTAGAATAAATATACAATAGACAAATATCCTATTAATAATTTGAACGTAATTTTTTATTTTATTTTTTGCATTTGATTGTTGATTTTGATTGTGTAATTTTAGATACAGAAGCCACTCTTTGTCCATGATCGGATAAACTCATCATAGATACCAGAATTTGTCAATAAAAGACTCATCAGTGACTCTCGAATCAAACAAAAGTTAAATCAGCTACATAAAGTACGAAGCTGAAGACCATTGAGGATCCAAAATTCCTAAATGTTTTGCCATATACAGTTAAAGTAATTTATTCCTGTGGAGCAAATCCGTACAACATAAGAACAAAATGGAATAATCAGCTGGAAATGGGTCATCAGATCGGTACAAAACACAAACAACAGCTGGAACGAGTATCTAATACCACTGAGTTGGTATCGTTGATACCGTAAATTAGCAAATTTGGCGTCGGGATATTTTTTTAGGTTTGCTCTCAAAAGGCTGGTGTTTTAGTTTTGTGTGTGTAATTTTGGTGCTTCGTCCAGTTAATATATTTTAATCAATATCTCTTTTGCAGTACATGTTTATCTAATGACGATCAAGGAATTAATTTTTAATCCTTATGCCTTTGGCAGTATATGTTAATTTATTAATTATGATTTAAGATCAAGTATTACAACGGACTGTGCTATTCTAATGATCAATAACGGCGTCTAATCAGCAATGTCGATAGCCTGGCATACTTATGACATGTGTGAATAGGAGTTCATATTGTGCATTCTTAACAGTTTAAAAAAATTGACAATTAAGTAAAAATTGTAAAGTGTTGTCAAATTATACCCGGTATGTATTGCAATGTGAACACTTTTCATGTTTCCTACATGTACTTGTATATTATTCCCAACAATTAACATTACGATATTGTCATACCGGTACACGATTTTGGCATTTAAATTTGCTGGTTTGCTTTATTTTTGTTTGTTTAATTTTGGCACTTTCATAGGAGGCGCCAAATAAACCAGAATAAAAGTACAACCAAAATAACCCAATTTACGGTAAGTGAACTAGTCGTCCCCGAACGTACCAACTTTTTGTTTAAATGTAAGTGATACAGTTAACAGTTATACGCTAAATCCGTTGGATGTTGGATGTGTACTGATTGATATTTCAGTCTAAGGTAAATGATTTGTTTTATTAGTTGTTATGGGTTTGAACTAGTTGTCAGCAACTGCGAGTACTCTCAGATCTGTACTTAGTGTCTTTTTTTTTGTTAGGGATCAAGAATGGATATATACCCAGCCACGTCTATGTTTTTGTTTTATGTTTTTCTTTGTATCGATATGATGAGTTAAACCTTTTTTAACTGATTTTTATAGTTTGTTCTTAAGTCGTGCTGTTACGCCACTGTCCCAGGTTAGGGGGAGGATTGAGTGCTCACAAACATGTTTAACCCCGCCACAGTTTTTTGGTGTCTGTCCCAAGTCAGGAGCCTGTAGTTCAGTGGTTCGTTGGTTCACATTTTCCATATTTGTTTTTCTTAAACTGTTTTGTTATAAATTAGGCCGTTTGTTTTCTCAATTGAAATGTTTCATATTTTTCATGTCGGGGCTTTTTATATCCGACTATACGGTATTGGTTTTTCTGATTGTTGAAGGCCGTACGGTTGCGTATAATTGCTTACATCCACCTAATTTGGAACTCTGGTCTCATTGGCAATCATATTATATATCTCTATTTTTATATATGTGAGTACTTACGTAATGTAACAAAAACCTCGTAAGAGGAGCGACAAAAAGCTTTGGTCCTTCACAAGGTGAACCTTTCTTGCAGCAACAGCACCAAGCTTTTAAACAGCCTTTCTGCACAAAAAGTAATGAATAAAATATCAATTCAAAAAGTAATCATTACTAAAAAATTAGAAAAGACCTGACGAATGGTAAAAAGGTGCAATTGAAAAAATATTATGTCACCTTATTAGTGTTTTGATAAAGGTTATGGTAAACAAATTGGGCAACTTTCATCTTTGGAGAAATACAGTTACCTCTAAATAATAATATTTTATCTTAAAAGCTTGATCATTTCTATGTAGCAACATTGCAGCAGCGCCTTCATATGAGTATATATTTCCCATTTGATACGATATTCTACAGCTTGCGTCTCCTATCATGATTTCATTGATACAAGGATTCTGCTTACAAGGGCTATTGGACCAATGGTTCTAACTGGTGAAGTTGACATCACCCTTTCCAGCGTTTTCGAGTTGAGCGACCGTTCTGTAGTATCTATATCACAAATTACCGCATATATGTTCCAAAAGAGAGGCGAAAGATACCGAAGGGACATTCAAACTCATAAGTGGAAAATATACTGACAACGCCATGGCTAAAACATAAAAAGACAAACAGACAAACAATAGTACCACAAAACATAACATAGATAACTAAAGACTGAGCAACACGAACCCCACCAAAACTATGGGTGATCACAGGTGCTCCGAAAGGGTTAGAAGATTCTGCTCAACATGTTTCACTCGTCGTGTTGCTCATGTTAGTACAAACCCGGTAACAATTCTTTATTCGGTAGGTCACATTCAGGGAAAAAGGAACTGGATTGTAGATACGACATTTGGAACATATCCGCTTTCATCTGTAAACGGATATTCCATACTGTCAACCAACTCGTGATGGTGTCCGTAAAATTAACGATGGGATGATTTCAACTTCACCACTTTGAACTCTTGGTTTACTAGCTTCCTTGTGAGCAGCAATCCTCTATCAAGGAAATCGTGATAGGAAATACAAGCGCTGGAATATCGTATTTTTGTAGTAACCACAATCTTGTTCTTTTTCATCTGTATTGACATCACCAAATGAGACTTATAATCGGATGTGTACTTACAATGAGCAACAAGACGGGTTCCACAGGTAGAGCAAGAACTGTTTATCCTTCCGGAACACATGAGTTCATACCCAGTTTAAGTGGGGTTTGTGTTGCTCAATCTTTAATTGTGTTATTTTATTTTTGAAAACTTATTCGTCTTTTCCACGTTTTTCGATTTAGGCCATGGCTTTGTCAGTTTTTCTTCGACTCATGAGTTTAGAATTTCCCGTTAGTATCTTCCGCTTCTTTTGCTATATCGTTGTTTCCATTAAAAATATAAAACAGTATTTTGTTAGCAAGCCCAAATACCTAACTTTTCACAAAGATAATGAATATGGGATATTTTTACAAACCCTCTCTTAACTACAATGTAAACTCATCCGAGGTTTTTGATCAGTGATAACTTTCAAACATATTTTAGAAGAAGATCTGATGAACGCAGTGATATCCTGAAGAGAAGCATTATAAAAGGTATAAAAGCTATATGTCGTTGATCTTATCAGTTTTAGTTCTATAATGTAGATATTATGTTCTTATTCGTACATGAAAAACAGTATATACCCAAAACACAAGAAGTACTAGTGAGTCTAAATAATGCTCACCGAGTGTTTTGATTTGTTTTCCTTAACCTTTTTGTGGATTTGTTTTTCACAAGAGTATCTGTCACCCTTCTATTTTAATGCTACCAAATACTCCATTTCTTTCATTTTAAAACGGTTCTTGTTCGTTTAAAAATGTAATCCAAAGAACTAGATTTTGTCTCTTTGCTGCCGTTGTCATCTGATCAAATTTAATTTTCAAAGAGTTTCAATTACAATGAATTCGTTAAAGTTTCCGAGATGTTTGTTGTCAAAATTTGGTGTCATTTTAGACTGCTTCTTTATACATACCGACAGCATTTCTTTTGATGCCTTTAAAGAGTTGCGTATAACATTAACGGTACCAATTGTACTGAACCAGATGTGAATTACGACAATAAAAGTTTCTTGAATGATGCTCGAGTCCGAAATATTTGAAAAATCAAAAACGTATTGAAAACAAAGAGGGCTTATAAACCAAGAAGGACAATAAGTATAGCCACAGCCGGATAATTCTAGTTGCATTCAATGCATGGCAATACAAAGGTAATAATACGGAGAGAGAACATTACAATGAAGTTTATAGTATATGATGTCTTAATAAAAAGTCGCGCTTTATGTTTTTCAACGTCATTGAAATCTTATAAATCTTATAATGTGTGTACATGTATATGCCGTTTTTTTATAATTTTATTTTTTGGTACCTTTCAGTCATTTAAGCCTAAACAGGTTTTCATTCCTAAAAGAGAGAATTACGTTTGACGCGCAGTCAGTTGAGTGTTGATTTACTATATCATAACTTTTACCATATCGACTCTATTTATATATAAGCGGTCAAGTACTTTTACCTTCCAAAAACCTCCAAGACTAGAACTTATTCCGCTATACCATATTTTATTTAAACGTCGTTGAGGGCATGTTTGAGCAAGAACGTCCAGCATATCATGTTCATAGGCACATTGCATTGGACTTATAGTGATGTCCCAAACGATTTTTTCTGTGATAACTAAATCCATTGCAAGCTCAGCGTCATCGTCATACAATCTCGATTGCAAATCTAATGCTCTATCTGCGAAGAGCCTGTAAAAACAGACATTAAAATGTATTGTTCATAGTATTATGAAGAATAGTCCACAGTGTAAGCACTTTCATTTTCATTTTGCATACCAACAATTGCTTTGAAGAAGAACCATGATTTAACAATTGAAACAAATGTTTAGTTTATTATTTCAAGCATTAAGTTTGTCCGACCAATTCTTTCTTTTGACCTCAAACTCATCTTTGTCATTTTGATAGGTTCTTTCTCTTGGAGCAGAAGTATTATTTTGTGTTATCATTGCAAAAGAACATAGAGGTTGATAACAATTAAACAGTATTGTGGTTAGATTTGCAAATCAGCTCATTTTTTTTATGGATTTTGTCGTTGATACCAGACAGGCAAGACTTGAAAACAATAAGTAGATATGTTTTTTTCTATTCGGTTTCAGCAGAGCGTTTATATAAAAAAAAAAAAAAAAAACTAATCAACAAATTAGAAATAAACCACTCATTCGACATTTGATGTCAACTAAAATGTACTCTATTGACATCTTCTATACTGGAAATGCTGCTCAATTCTAGTCATGTTTTTGTCTGTCTTACTTCAACTTATGATTCAATTGGCCACATGGTATCTTTGCACTTTTTCAAAACATATAAACTTTTGAAAAAAAACTATTGTTCGTTTCGAATTTAATTAGTGCAGTTGTGCAGAAATTATACACTTTTATATAAACATAAAGGTGTCCCATATTTTAAGTGTTTTAATAAATACCTAGACTGAGCAGTCATGTCAGACTTTGTTGCCTGGTCATAAGCACTGGCTGCCATTCTTTTGTATACACTACTGGCCAATAATGCGCACACTAAATGAGTACAATATAACACAATAGATTCTGTAATGCAACAGAATATTGAAGATATGGATTCAGATATGGGTTTAATCTTTCTCAGCGTTCATCCATTCATTTAAATAATGCATACGTGTATGGAACAGTAATATTTAAAAGGTTATTTAAAATTTAACTTGAATTAATAATTAAATTTGTGTTACAATGATCATGCAAGTCTCTAGTGACTTCATATTACGCGACTCACAGTGTTTTAAATCACAAGACACTCATTTTAGAATGATCTCTAGCCAATTTGATGTAGATTTTATGTTGATCTATCGATGTCTTTTGTTCGTTATTTTGTGTCGTTTTATTGTTTTTTCATTGACGTATATCCCATATGTTAAAGACATACATTAACTTAGGAAACAGAATACAAACAACAGAAACAAGCTTTGACAACAAACGTAGTTAGACAGAACAGGCAAAATAATCTTTGGTTAACTTTTCCTTGAAATAAGGATTCCTTAGATTTGATACAATGCTACATTATTAACATAGACATTTTAATATATTCTCGTACCGATGCTTTGGCTATATGATATTTTTCATCGGTATTGCATAAAAGGCCCGATAACACAATTAATTTGTGGTGCATTTTTTTAGAACAATAAATGGCAATAAAAAAAACTCCTGTGGTTTCTCATTTTGATTATATCAGTGTACTATTCGTCTTTTGGTACCAATTTTATTAATACTATATAAAACTTCCTCAGCTGGAACTCAAAATAATATGGATAATTTTAAAATCAGGGGAAAACAAATTCAATTTAACAAATAGAGACATTGTAATTTTTAACCTTTTTTAACTGGACCTAAAAACTACTTTACCTTAAAATTCCGGATTTGTATGTTCAAACAAAAATAGTGTTAAATATACCACTAAATACTTAACTGAGAATATTTTTCACATCATAATTTGACATATTTCATAGAAGTCAAAATGTTTCATGGTAGGAAAGACTGTTTAATACGTTTAGTGCTATTTGTTGTTTTTTAAAAACGAATTATTTATTTATCGAAACGTATGCCTGAAATAACTTCATATTTTCCGATTTAGACCAAAATGTTCTAAGAAAAATGATTAAATAATTAAAACCAAAAAACATAGACGGACTAAAGTTTTTTGGCAGGGTTTCTGTTGCTTTATTTTAAGCTTTCTCTTTATTTTCATTGCCTCAAGGGTTTTGTTTTCCCTTTGCAATAAATAGCGTTAAAATGAGAAACGAATACAAAACAAATTGAACAAAATGAAACGAAACAAATAAAAAGGGACGAAACATAGAAAAAACAAATAGACAAATGACAAAACGAAACAAAATAGAACGAAAAAGAGATCATGTTTTCTAATTTTGAATAAAACAATCAGTTAGCTCGGTTTAATATTAATATTACATGCATTTTCATTATGAGACTCAATAATACCATCAATCAATAGTGCTTGTGTAGATGTAATGTGGGGCTAAACGAAGGGGTGATAATTTCAACGTAACCTGGTAAGGGTAGGGGAAAGAAAGAAAAAACAGTTTGCCCTATTTATAAAAGCTGATTGTTGTTTCAAAATAACAATAAACACTATTACCTATGTGTAAAAGTCCGGACGAAAAAAAAAAAAAACAGATCGAGTCATAGGCTCTAATGTTTGTTATGAATCATCATTCATTTTGGTGTAGATGTTTTCCTCAAGTGCAGCTTAGAGTCACAACGTATATATGTCTTTCGTCTTTGTAATTAATATTGCCTTTTGTTTCAGTTTAGCTCGCAAATTATCATAAAGCCATGTACAAAAAAAAAAACAATCTCCAATCTATTTAAGTAACTGCATCAGTATCTTCTTCAGAAGGTTTTGTGTATCAAGATATGCTCATTACATTATGTGCACTGTACAGCTCATGGGAATGAATTATTACAATATATGTTCTTATAAAAGAGGGATGAAAGATACCAGAGGGACATTCAAACTCATAGATCGAAAACAAACTGACAACGCCATGGCCAAAAATAAAAAGACAAACAGACAAATAATATTACAGATGACACAACATAGAAAACTAAAGACTAAGCAACACGAACCCCACCAAAAACTGGGGGTGATCTCAGGTGCTCCGGAAGGGTAAGCAGATCCTGCTCCACATGTGGCACCCGTCGTTTTGCTTATAACATGCGAAGTTCTGACATATCAAGCTCAACTATGACTTCAACTGCGAAAGATGTAAAATGTTCAGTGCTGCAATCCAGAACTAAAATGTATTCATTCCTGCCTTTAAATGACATGTTTGTCATTTTTTTATTGGGTTAAAGATTTGAAATTATCAAACGCATATTTATCGTTTTTCTATGTTTCGTCTTGTCATTTTACTTTTCGTTTCGTTTCGTTTTGTCAATTTTCCATTTAGTTTCGTTTCATTTCTCATTATAGTACCTTGCAATTGGCATAGTCCTTTTCTATATGAAAACAATATGAAGTGCGATAACTTCAAATAAAGATTTAATACAAGTACATAAGTTATGAACTACGATATTCTATCATTCTAATATTACCGACGTTCTAATTACCAGCTATTAAATAACTCATAATGTATATTTATCAATATGTGATACTTGCATAGCGGTTGTTCGCATTTCATCCAGAAAATGGTAGCTAGTTTTGGTCTGTTTACAAAAATTGCCCATATCAGAAGGTCTTGATATGCGGACCATTTTTCCTTTCTGTTTAGAGAGGTATCTGTTTTAGACAAATGTAAAAGAGCTTTCAATATGATGATGATGGATGGCTGCTTAACGCCCTCTTTCAATATAGGCTTTTTTATGTTGTAATGTTACATTACTGTCTCAGGTTAGGGTGAAGGTTGGCGCTTGATAAAACGTTTAAACCCTCTGCATTTTTTGCACCTGTCCTGAGTCAGGAGCCTGTTGTTCAGTGGTTGTCGTTTGTTGGTGTGGTTCATAGGTGTTTCTCGTTTCTCGTTTTTTATATAGATTAGACCCGCTGGTTTTCCTGTTTGAATTATTTTACACTAGTCATATTGGGGCCCTTTATATCTTGCTGTTCGGTGTGACCGAAGGCTCCATGTTAAAACTGTACTTTGACCTGTAACTGTTAACGTTTTATACATTGTGACTTGGATGGAGAGTTGTCTCATTAGCACTCATACCACATCTTCTTATTTATATTAAAACTGAAGGGTATATATTCACCACAACAGTTTGTACAAAGACTCTAAGAAATGGATTGAAATGTTTGTCAAATATCCTTTTTCAGTGCCAGAAAAAATATTTGAAAAAGTTCTGCTACAAACCGTAAAGATTATCCACAAATCGAAAAAAGAATCAGTGGTCTTCCCCTGAAGGCTTTAAATTTTCGAACAAACTCATGTGCCGAGTCAGGAATATGACATTTGTTTTCTATTTTAAGGAAATATTGCTTGTTATGCAAATTATTAAATTTCGTAATAAGCAAAAACATTTCCTTTATTATATTAATCATATTTCAGCTCCCGATTTTTAAACAGCCATCTAAACAAACCCAGCTTCCTTTCACTTTATGATACGCTACTGAGAAGTTTTATAGACAGGTATATCAATGAAACCATCCCTTTTAAATGTACTCTTTTGAATTCACGGAAAATATACAACGTTTTCGTATAGAAATATGTATTAATAATCGATGATCATTTTCTCGTCAAATCATACCCCAAGGCACTAACACTTTTGTTTTTGCATTTCATTTATATTTAACATAAAATCAAAATTATTCAATCAAAACAAAATACGTAAAATAACTTTTTATATTTTAATGTGCCGAATATATTTGTTTATTGGTCAACCTACGTTCTTATATTACAGAGATACTAAGGAAGTTATCAAATAATAAACTGTCCCTTCATAAGACATCTTAAAAAATACATATAATTCATAATATAGATTTAAGAAGATGTGGTATGAGTGCCAATGAGACAACTCTCCATCCAAGTGAAAATTTATAAAAGTAAACCATTATAGGTCACAGTACGGTCTTCAACACGGAGCCTTGGCTCACACCGAACAGTAAGCTATAAAGGGCCCCAAAAAATTACTCGTGTAAAACCATTCAAACGGGAAAACCAACGGTCTAATCTATAAAAAAAACGAGAAACGAGAAACACTTATGAACCACATCAACAAACGACAACTACTGAACATCAGATTCCTGACTTAGGACAGGTGCATACAAATGCAGCGGGTTTAAACGTTTTAATGGTACCAAACCTTCACCCTTTTTCTGAAACAATAGTGTAACATCACAACATAGAAAGACACACTATAAAATATCAACTGAAATAGCTTAACTCAATCAAAGGACATATTAACACCATTGAACATACACTGAACAAATAAATTTGACCTATGACACAATGTAAATACAAAATAAATAAACTAAGGGAAGAATAATAAAAGAAACATGTTATATCGGTAAGAAATGTTAAACAATTAAGGAAAAACAATATGCGCGAACAAAAATACCATCCATTTGCAATAACTTTAAACACAGGAAAATGAAAATAATTTTGTTGTTAGGTATACCTGTACAGTACCAATAGAGAAAGGAAATATTTTTACAAAATAAATAATTTTGAATACAAAATAAATAAACTTAGGGAAGAATAATAAAAGAAACATGTTATATCGGTAAGAAATGTTAAACAATTAAAGAAAAACAATATGCTCGAACAAAAATACCATCCATTTGCAATAACTTTAAACACAGGAAAATGAAAATAATTTTGTTGTTAGGTATACGTGTATAGTACCAATAGAGAAAAGTTAAGGTTATAGTACCAATAGAGAAAGGAAATATTTTTACAAAATAAATAATTTTGAATACAAAATAAATAAACTAAGGGAAGAATAATAAAAGTAACATGTTATATCGGTAAGAAATGTTAAACAATTAAAGAAAAACAATATGCTCCTTTTTGCTGTTAACTTTAACTGTTAACGTTTTATACATTGTGACTTGGATGGAGAGTTGTCTCATTGGCACTCATACCACATCTTCTTATTTATATTAAAACTGAAGGGTATATATTCACCACAACAGTTTGTACAAAAAGTCTAAGAAATGGATTGAAATGTTTTGTCAAATATCCTTTTTCAGTGCCAGAAAAAATATTTGAAAAAGTTCTGCTACAAACCGTGAAGATTATCCACAAATCGAAAAAAGAAATCGAATACAGGTAAAAGTACAGTTTTAACATGGAGCCTTGGGTCACACCGAACAGCAAGATATAAAGGGCCCCAATATGACTAGTGTAAAATAATTCAAACAGGAAAATCAGCGGGTCTAATCTATATAAAAAACGAGAAACGAGAAACACCTATGAACCACACCAACAAACGACAACCACTGAACAACAGGCTCCTGACTCAGGACAGGTGCAAAAAGTTAAAGTTACTTTTTTTCAAATTAAGAAGTGAACACTGTGTTGGATACCGCAGCAACGAAGAAACTTGTGGTTCCACCGGGTACATACTATAGAACCTGAACGCCGTACAATTACATATCATTGACCAAAATGTACAATGACCTGCAAACGTTTCGTATCTGCATTCCCTGGAGAGATGCTAGTTTGTTTAGCGAAATATATCGTTTATTCTTTTATTACATTGTAAATATTTTCATTATTTTAATATCTATTTACTAAACAGTGTGTTTATTTTTCATTGTCAGGTATTTAATATATATGTTATGCCTGCTCCGTACACCTTTCCAATTAAAGTCCTTATAGGATATACTTATGAGCAAAATGTTCTAAACGTTTGTTTTTTAACTCAATAAAAGATCACAGTAGCATGATAGACATACCTCTAGGATACCCCAACAAAGCCTGACAAATCTGTCGACCTGCGATCATACACACTTCAATTGGTAAGATTTGATTAACTTGTTTGTCCTTTTTCTTTTTCTCCTTTTTCTTTTTCTCCTTTTCCTCGGGAAAGCATAAATCCTTAAATTGCTTAATGACTGGTGAGGAACCCCACTTAAAATAAATTTGATTTACATATTTGAAATATGTTATACAGGGTACGTTGTATTATATTTTATGCTACCCATGCATGCGTTGACCAAATTCATATTTGGTGTTTCCAAATGATCCATTTAACTTATACTTAACTAATGTATCAGACATAAAGGATTTTTTTTCCATTGGAGTTAATTTCCTGTGTATTTTGTTTCTTATGTACTTGAGAAAATTGTAATGTGAAACATTTCTCATCACCCATAACAAATGTATTACTAAGGATTCACCAATTTTCGTGGATTGAGAAAATCTTACATTTTTGTGGATATATGATTTTGTTGTTTTGCCAAAGTGTGCTTATATTCCTATAATTCATTTGTAATTCGTTGAACATTTAAATTCGTTGTTCCCAGGTACGAACGAAATCCACGAAAATTGATATTCAACGAACACTAATGCATTCACAGTATATGTTTGTCTGATAAGCCCTATGTTTAAGTTAAGTATATTATCTAGTCCCTCTGGATTATTTCTTACATTCAGCCGCTGCATATAAATAGAAAAAAATAAACATTATGTGTTTTCTCGCATAGTCCTTTAAAAACGTGATTTTTTTCTTAACCGGGAAATTTCACAATATTCATAATATATTTTCCTTAGCCCTAACGGAACTGAGATGTCTTCTCAACGCTATGATGAGACACGTGTTTTTAAGTGCAAAATTGGTAGGCAAGAGAGATAAGTACAAATTACGTTAAAAAAAAGTAACGGGAATCTATATTTGTTGGACCAAAAAATACTGTCCGAATAATTTTTCTTTAATTCTAGCAAGGTTTCGTAAAAAAAAAATCAACTTTCTAAAGTCTGTATCTCAAAAAAGGATACCATTGTCGCCTATGGTGAAATTAATTGTTTATTGCAATCTATATGACTTTTATTATCTTTTAATGTCCATATTGGGTCATATAGCTCCAAATGGGTCTACGAATTTCGGCTTTAAAATGTTAGGTTTGGGCGTTCTAAATAAAAATCAATTTTAAAAGCCTTTTGGAAGCAAGAAATTTATAAAATCTTCTAATGTGTCTGCGATTTTTTACATACCTGGCTTTCAAATGTTAAGGCTTGATATGTGATGTACATTTTCGTATTATGCATATGTATAATTCAGATAGGTGTTTTTTTTTTTTGTGTATTTTAAAAATACCATTTCACAAATACAAATAAATACTCTTTAACATATTCGTATAGTATGATTGTTTGTGCAATATGGAAAATATAGGTAGAAACAATACTTGGTTTCTTAAATATTTTAACAATAACCACGTCAGAATGTTATTTTACCTTAAAAACATTTCGAAGGGCCGTCTTTGCTTTTTGTTGAGATTGAATCGTTTCCTGAAATTGAAAAAAGCATTTAAAAGTGAGAATGACTGAGTCAACGCACTAATGTATTGATTTTTTTTGCGAAATAAAATGTATATTCATATTAATTCAAGTGTTCTGGCGTAAGTGTGTCAATATTTATACACGAATTCATTTCTGTATGCCCTAGATATAACCTGAACACCAGTATTCAACCCATATTTCTTGGCTAAATGGCTTGTTTTGAGCAGCCTTTATTCTATTTATGTATTGTTGTGTGGACAGTTATTTGACTTGTCGTGATGATGGGTTTTTTTCTTTTTGTCATAGTGTTGTTTTTTCTTCGACCTATGATTATGTATTTGACTCTTAAGTATTTAATTTTTTCCTGTCGTAAAATTTCTTAAGATTTTTCTCTTCTTTATTTTACAAACATTCGTTTGTGTATTTATTTGTTGTGTTGCTAAAACCAATCAAAAAACCCAGTAACAGTAAGCTGTAAAAACCCGATATAAAAAAATCTGAAACAATCTAATGGAAAGAAACAACGGCATCTTAAAATGGGATAAAAGCAACAAGCTTAATAAACTCTTCATAAATCGTGAAAATTCAACCGTTAAAACAAAACAAAAAGCAAAATAAAAGCATGTAATTGATTTACATATACCGTATAAATATGAGGAAAGTATTTATCTTCAAACTCTACACCTTCTTCTTCTAATAATACCGACACATATTCATCTCTGTCAGCTACAATAGCTGCTTTCAACAGCATATTGAAATTCTAATAAAATAAAGAACGATATATTTGCCTTTCTTAATGCAATATATTTTGCAATAATAAATACCAATATTTTTAGCGTATACATGATACCAGGCATACGTTCATTTTAATGTCAACACGCTGTTCTATTTTAAGGATTTAATCAATATCCATAAATGTATCTGTCAAGAGTATCCACTTGGATATGGAGTATATATTTCCAAGTTGATTGATATAGTACAGATGCATTTCCTACCACTATTTCCTAGATAAATTATTTAACGAAGTATTAAACTAATTGCAAGGGCTCCAACTGGTAAAGTTGAAGTTCTCGCTTCGAAAGTTATACGCACGCCATCCCGAGTAGGTTTTAGACGATAAAGTGTTCTCAAAGTATCGAAAATAAAAGTTAAAAATATACGTTTAAAAAGGGCGAATTTTCAGTATATTGTGTAATTTTTTTTATTTCTTTTGACGCCCATCTTTCGGAAAACGATGTGACAAGATATACTCGTTTTAAAAACATTTATCAAAAAGTTTGGTCGAATGTGTTTTGCTGAATTTGTTTGGTCTTTATAATATAAAATGATTTTAAGATATCTGATAATATACTCCCTACTTATTTTACCCCTAACATTTATCATTAAAAGAAATTTGGGGAAACTAGGGATATACCTAGGAATACAGTTAGACTTTCGATTACATTGACGAAAAACAAACGCTCATCCCAAAATATAAAAAAGTAATTATAGATATACCTTGTAAAACCAATTGATTTTTTTTGTTATGTAACTAAGTCTTTCCGACTACACACCAATGCAGCATTAATGGTCACAACAGGACGAATTTTCGTTCCCTTTTCTTAATTTTCCTTTCTTTGGATGGCGATGTTCCTTTGGCACCATCTTACGGTGTTCATATTTCATAACTCGTGCGCTATGCCCGTGTCTGTTGTGACGTTTTAGATTTTGATGAACGTAATTTATGTATTACTGATAAATTATTAAGTCAGGGATTTCGTTACCACAAATTACTTAAAACCTTTACTAAATTCTTCCATAGATATAAAGATTTGGTTTTAAAGTTTGGTTGTACCTGTTGAAAACTTTTTTAAAACGAGATAGCACATCCTCATTTTTACGGAGATGTTGTTTACCGTGCAAAATATTTAGAAACGATCCTGGTAAAATTATCAATCCTCTAAATAAACTTATTCTAAAAGGCTTCCAATTCAACACTGTAATTAGATCTTTGAATATTGTTTTTATTGGTATTAATATTGATTTTGCTATCAGAAAATTAAAAACAAACTAAATATTAGTGTTATATACATGCACTTTCATGGATCTACAATCTGTCTATACCTGTATCTTGGCATTGCACAAGGTCATGTTTTTTCTCTGACTGTTTATGACGTCTTTACACTAAATCCATTGGATGTTGGATGTGTACTGATTGATAATTTAGTCTTAGATGCATGATTTTTTTTATTAGTTGTTATTGGCTTTGAACTAGCTGTCAGTAACTGCGAGTACTCTCAGATCTGTACTTAGTGTCTTTTTGTTGTTGGGATGTACAAGTACCCGGCCTCGTCCACTCTGTGTTTTTGTTAGATGTATTTCTATTTGTATCTATCTGATGAGTTAAGCCTTTTTCAACTGATTTTTATAGTTCGTTCTTATGTTGTACTGTTACACCACCGTCCCAGGTTAGGGGAGGATTGGGATCCCGCTAACATGTTTAACCCCGCTACCTTCTGTATGTATGTGCCTGTCCCAATTCAGGAGCCTGTAATTCGTAGGTTGTCGTTTGTTGCTGTGTTACATATTTGTTTTTCGTTCATTTTTTGTACATTAATTAAGCCGTTAGTTTTCTCGTTTGAATTGTTTTACATTTGTCATTTCGGGGCCTTTTATAGCTGACTACGTGGTACGGGCTTTGCTCATTGCTGATAACCGTACGGTGACCGATAGTTGTTAACTTCTGTGTCATTTGGTCTCTTGTGAAAGTTGTCTCATTGGCAATCATACCACATCTCTCTTTTTTATATTGAATCGCTGAATTGTATATGTCACCAATATATTATCATTTCTTTGTATTTTTTTCCAATGACGTGTTCAAGCTTTACTCTATAGAACTCTGTTGTCTTGTATATGGTGTTAATACTGGATGACTCTTCAGATACATAATGTCGCCCACCAAAATATTGTAGAAAACCTTATGTGTTCCCCGAGAAACAAAGTACTTCTCTTTATGTTAAAACCAAAATTGTGTCTTACCTTATTTTAGTATAGCAAAATCAGCAAAAATTGTGTTCAGAGGGTAATCAACGGCGTGCTTGAAAATCACGAGAAAATGCGATAAGCAAGTTACACAATATAAAAAATTAAGCCCGCCGTAGAGCAGTGCTTTTGAAATATTTATGTCTTTCGTTTTAACGATTACACTTTTGTATCCGAAACTGCACCCTAACCGACTAAATAATGTGTGATTGTTTTTTAAAATGTCTTTTCGACTGATATACATTTGCACCTTATATCCCTTTTAATCAGCGGACAATTATGCGGATAAACTTTATGTGATCGTAATAAGTCCACTCGAAAGTACAATTTCAAGAAAACTGTACCGATGTCAGTTCATGAGTTACTGGTCATGGTTCGACCAGACCAGACCCACCCATATTCATGGGAGAGAAAGAATGATCGACACCATGAAAAAACGTCTATACTCGAATGATTCCAATGATCTCTGTAAAAATTGCGCAAACAAAAAATTAACTCAAAACCAGGTAGTCATTTTCCCCTGCGTCGTTGAAGGCGAAAGAAGGTCTAGAAATCGCTCGACTCTGTCCATTCGTCCATCGATCCGATAGACCGTGCATACAAAACTTTTCTCAAAGATTTCCTGTCCTCTATCGGAGGAAATGATCTTATATAAACTTTTAAAAGAAAAGAGATGTAGCTAGATTAGCTTGATTGAGGACAACACACATGATACATCAAAGACTGTCAATTTGGTCATGGTTCTTTTAATCTAACAATAGAGAACAGCAGGGAGTTTCTGATGAGCTTCATCTATGGGTTTATACATCTATGGTCTGATGAATATTCGACGCAAAGATGTTAAATAAGGGCAACAGTAGTATACCGCTGTTCATAATTCTATTAAGCAAAAACAAATGTAACAAACCGAGAGAAACACATCAACAATAAGAGAAAAGCAACAGAAACACTGAACTACAACAAGACCTAACGCAAATATACATAGAAATGGACTGTAGAAAACAACTTCAATATTCCTTACTTGGTACAGGACATTTAAAGAAAAAATTGATGGGTTGAACCTGGTTTTGTGGCAAGCCAAACCACCCGATTAAATGATAATGTTTAAAATACCGCTAAAATGACAACACTATGTGACAGGAATACAGTACAAACAAACGCAAGAACACTCAGCACAGAGAAATCCATACACAAATAATATAATAGTACATTACAACATGTAAACCGCAGAATAACAACGGACACCTCCCATGAATTTTCGACAGCACACAAGGACACCACAAACGAAATATAAACTGTGCTTCACATGAATGGATCAAAGTTACAAAAATTGATAACAGATAACAGTGTTTTTTTTCGTATATTTTGTATTCTTTTTATACCCAAAACGGGGACAAGGGTTTGTCCGATTCAGGAAAAAAATTAATAAGAAATATATACCAATCGACAACCAGTCGGCAACTATGATGTCATGAACTATAAATAGTTTTTAAGCACCCAACCTCTGTATCCTCTCATTCTCTTAAAAAAAATCGGCACCCTTTCTTTACACGTAGCAAATGACAATAAGAATTTTTGTTATGTCTCATGTAAAGTTTATTAAATGATGTTTGTCCATTCGAATCTATTTTATACTCTGTACATTAACAGCATGTTGACACTGGATAACACCATGGACAATAATCAATGTGTACACATTACTTCATATATTTCTTAAAAACTCCGTTATTCAACTATCATAAAAAAACATCATAGGAGTAAGACTTTCCTTTAGGAACGACGGTTTTTATTTGCGCTTTGAGACGACCCAAGATTTAAATCCTAAATGTACCTAGAAGTGTAATTGTAATCCTAATCGTAGGTGTATGACAGTTTCCGGAAATGTCGAGTTAGACTGATCATTGTTATTGAATCTGGCGCTGTTCGACAGTGTTAAGAGTTTGAAATAGTGTTGTCAACGGTTTAACCGGTAAACTGTCGGAAAGACAAAATATCGAATACAAAATACGCTTCAATTTCACAAAATTATTAACACCCAAATCTACCATAAAACCATGTGTGCTTAAACAACATTGTGAAAGAAGTCCATAAAACATATATTTTAGCTGGTTCCCATGCCTTTCAGTTAGGAGATGCTGTAATGTACCGGGATCCATTTTCCCCATGTTGGAGGCAGTATTTTTCTATGACCAATTTCAACACCCTGAAACTTATGAATGCAGAAAACAACGAGATAAAGAACGATGATTTATTGAATAATCAAGTGTTGAAGCTTTAGTTACTCATCAGTACTTGAATTTACAAGAAACAGTTTGTGGATTATTCAAAATGGAAAATCATAAAAAGTCCATATTTTAAAAATTATCTAGAATTTGGTCCATTAAAAATATAAAGATAACTCCCTATGTTTTATTAATTGGAATACTTAATTATGCATTTTAGCTAGTAAACTTGCTGGGGTCTCATTGTAGTACATTCTAGAATTCTACTCTAAAAATGACTAAATTTACATTTTCTCTCAATAAATCAATGAATTTAAGAAAGGTATTCTGTAGATAATTTTGGAAATGTAAGTATTTCTTTTTCAAAAGCACTATAATATTTAACAAAAAAAGTCACATTTTTTTTAAACTTACCAGCTCTCTGTCCATTAGAATATAAACATATGTCTATTTGGTTATTTTAAGTGACAGAGTTAAAACTAGAATTCTCCTTGAATAATGTTCAAATTTACAATTTTAAATATCAATCTGTAGATAATTTTTTGAAATGTATATATATAAATTTTACTTTTTTAAAAGCATTATTATACTTAACACTTAATCAATTGGCGTCAGTCATCCGTTGTGGGCGTCCGTTAAATTTTACAAAAATCTTCTCCTCTGAAACTATTGGGCTAAATTTAATCAGATTTGGCCACAATCACCATTGGGGTATAGAGTTTTAGAAATTGTGTGCAATGACCACCCCCTTCTTTCCAACCAACATAACCGACAAGGCTAAAAATAGAACTTACGGGGTTAAATGCAAGTATTGTCTATTATATTGAAAACTGCTATAGATAGAGAAAATCTGACAGGGGCAGGAATTTTCAAAATGTTGAGATTTCCCTACAATCTGTTTACGTCAAAACTGTCAGACGAGCTTGTGTTGGAGTTTTTGCCCTTAAATGACATAATTTGTGCCTATTATTTTAAACTCTGCAATAGGGAGGGTTGAGCGCTCACAAACGTGTTTAACGCCGCCACATTGTTAATGTGCCTGTCCCAAGTCAGTTACCTGTAGTTCAGTGGTTGTCGTTGGTTCATGTCTGTCATGTTTGTTTTTCGTAAACTGTTTTGTTATAAATTAGGCCGTAAGTTTTTTCAATTGAATTGATTCATATTTTACCACATCTCCGTATTTTTATATAGACATGATTCTTAGACTGTCAAAATGTAGTCAAACTTAAGAATTCAACTGCCAGTAGTATTTCAATGAAGTCTGAATCATGTCCTACATCAGCTTCATCAATTGTTTCCACTTTATTAGAATTGTCCACCTATTCATTTGTTTTCTTTAAAGTTAATTTTCAAAAAAAGCGTCTGATCTAATTTGATGATAACCATTCTTTTGGTGAAAACATTTTATATGAAGTAGTTTTTAGGGCGATCGCAAATGCCTTCATAACAAGTCTTTTTCAAGTTTTTTTTCTCCTTGCTCAAAAAAGCGTACAATATAAAAATAAAAAGATGTGGTATTATAATAACATCTCTTACAACTATTTTGGGCCTTTTCAAAACCCAGCCTTTAATTATCAAATCTTCATGGCTTTCTTATTTTATTTGGGAAATCTAAAAAGCTGACATTTACATGTACAATGTTTGTCGAAACTTTCTGATCGAAACTTTCAAAATATATTTCTGTAAATTAAAAAGTTTTGCAATATGAATAACACAACAGATTTTTAATGTTACCCGTCTACTAAATTTTTGTTCAAGGCTCATTTTCAAACTTGACCGGTTGTCTGTAGAAAGCTACTGCATAAATGTTATCCAAATAAGATAACGATTAATTATGCTAGAAAGTGTACAATCCGGACCAATGCTCGGACGGACAGACAAACGCACAGCATTTATATATTCCCGGCCGCAATGTGATGCTGAGGGAGACAACAAGAACAGATATGGGGTATATTTCAAGGAGACAATAGTCATCTCAGAAGTTAACTAACCAAAAATTTACACTCAGAGGTCACCACACGATCTGCAACAAACAGGGAAACCCACACCATATAGTTAGCCCTATATGGCCCAGACTGTGACATGACCTAAGTTACATTTCATTTTTTGTACAATATTCAATATAATTTATAAAATACAAAATATATGTTACACTTAATTGGTCTAGTCATGATATATTTATTAGAGTACATGGTTTAGGGGTGAGTATCTGAACAGATATATAAGGGGCACGAACCACAGCAAAAACATATATGGTGTACTCAAAGGTGTTGCCTTGCTGATTGAGAATATATATATAATTTAGAGGTAGGGATATGAACATATTTCAAGCTATTTTACCATCAATGGTTATAGGGGGCAGGGCATGTCACTCATGATGAACTAGAAAAGCAATTAAGATTAAATATGGGTTAAGAATGTAGTTCTGAACCCTATTTTAGATAAATCTAAATACCAACATTATTTTATGAGGGACGGAGCAGGACCCCCAAGGACAAACCCTTAGCTGCACTGAAAAGGTCTTGCACGTTCTGTGGCCTATAAATTGCTTACTTCCCCTTCATTTTAACTGACGGGGATAGTTGTCTCATAAGCAATCAGTCCACATCTCTTCATTTTCATTTTAACATGACAAGAAAGAATATGTTTGATTTTAGGGTGACATATGAAATTAAATATTTGACCTTGACTTTTTATTTGACCTTCAAGGTCAAAGATCAAGGTCATCATCCATGGTACGCGACACATGATATTGAGGTGCTGCACTTTTGTGTCAAGTATTAAAAGACTTTGTCAAGGGAGAGGCAAAGGTGTGTTCCAGATAAGAAAATGTAACAAAATCAAGTTTTTTTACCTTGATGTCAAAGGTCAAGGTCATCTGACGGTTTTCATTTTGATGAGATACAATGTTTTATTGTAATTCACCTAAATGCCAAATATCATAAGCCAGTGTCAAAAGATAAATAAGTTTTCATAATTAAATACACGGATTATTGTGAAAAATATGTGAAAATTACTCCTTTTTATTCCGTTGCCATGGTAACGGTGTAGGAGACCCCAGCTCAAAAATCATAAAACTTATAGCACACATGTAAACCTTCATAGAAATATTTAAAACATTGAAAAATGCATTGTACTTTTCAAGATTTCCTGTCTTTTTGTTGATCTTTTTAGGAAGTATAAAAAAAAAATGTCCAAAATTACCTTTTTAGACCGGCCAGTCCCAAAAATATAACTATACTCAAGCAAAAACATTTTGTCAATTTTCGAAGGACAAATGATGCTTGTTATGAAAATCAACTCAAATATCAGCTGAACATAACCATATCTAGTATATTCAGAGTAACAAAATTGTGTAATTTTTGTGGAAATTTTGGGAAATTAAGCCTTTTCTAATATATGGCGCTGCAAAATCTAAAAAAAAGCCTTAAATCAATTTTTAAAGTTAGAATTTTTTTCTCTTGACTATCATAACATATGTGCAAAATTTCATTACATTTGGTTGACATGTCATGTGGACCCACTTATAAGCCTTTTGCATGGTTCTATCAAAGACTGGGTGTTAAGCATAAAGACAAATTGTCTATCAGCTTGGGACAGGATATGAAGTGCACATTATTTGCATACATGTAATTTGAGCTGTTGTAAGCTGATTTTTTTTTTTTTGGTTAACATCTTATTCATGTTTGATTTAATATTGCGTAGACCTACATTTAAATATGCTACCTCCATCGTCCAGTGCTTTGTCATACTTTAAACGAAATGCAGTCCCAAAAAAAATAAATGGCGAATCATGTGAATGGAATAAATCTATACTGGATGGTACGAGTAACACGCTTATATTAATCATCCCAATACTCCAGAGAATTTTCTGAGACACCAGTGAAAATGAAACAATGACCGATTTCAGGTTTTGTCAATTCGACGAGAACAAGAAGATTTGTATATCCTAAATCTGAAGTTATTACAAAATCCGTAGTAGATATGTGAGTATTGGATAATTTTAACTAAAAATTTACAAAAAAAAGCTCAAAGCCTAAACTGCAATGTATCGTATCATAAAACCGTGCATTGAAGAGTACTGTAGGTAAGGCGTTCACACTTCAACTTTACTACCGGTTAACCGGTTAATCGGTCGAAAGATTATCCGAGTAACTGGTTATGCAAAACTGTTCACTTTGACAAGACTAGTTTTAAAGGACAAATTCGTCTACCTCACAAACTTTACTTCAACTCTATAATTCACATACTAACTTGTTAATACAAAGAAAGCATATCTGTTTTGAGAATTGACGAAAATGGGTGAAAATATTTTTATTTGCTAGTCATGTTTGTCTGTTTTATATTTGAAATCAAATAATTATACTACCAAATTAAAACGAACTGAAGTAATGGAGAAATGATTCATCGTTGCGACTGTCCCAAGTCAGGAGTCTCTGGCCTTTGTTAGTCTTGTATGTTTTTTTTTAATTTTGTTTCATTAATATGTTTCGGAGTTTAGTGTGACATCAATTTTCGCTGAACTAGGTTTTTGTTTAAGGGCCAGCTGAAGCCCACCTCCGGGTGCGGGATTTGCTCGCTGTGTTTATGACCCATTGGTGTCCTTGGGCTGTATTTTTGCTCTTTGGTCGGGTTGTTGTCTCTTTGACACATTCTCCGTTTCGATTCTCAATTTTATTAGTTATTGGATGGTGACTAGCGCAAATTATGTTAGTACGGGCAAACAAAGGACGGAAACAAAGATATATGTGTTGCATGTGTACTTAACATCTTGTATTTCAATTCCAACAGGCAAGCCAAAACTCTAGAAAACAAAAACTGCGAATATGCTTATTTAAATCTCTTTCATGAAATTGTTATTGTCTAATCTATCAAATAGTAGATATCTGGCACAACCATAATCAACGGATTTGTTGAGAGGCGAAAGATACCAGAGGGACATTCAAACTCATATTTTGAAAATAAACTGACAACGCCATGGCTAAAAAAGTAAAAAGCCCAACAGACACACAATGGTACAAAAAACACAACATCGAAAACTTAAGACTGAGCAACACGAACCCCACCAAAAACTGGTGGTGATCTTGGGTGCTCCGGAAGGGTAAGCAGATCCTGCTTTACATGAAAGAAAAAAAGCTATCTATGATAATTGATACATTATAAGATTTAATGTTATGTCGCTTATTATGCAATGTATAGTTTATAGATAATTTGCAATGTCACTCGTATGTTACAATATATAGTGCATTTTTTAAGAACAGTAAGGTTAAGAAATAATCGTAAAAGCAAGTTTTATTTCCCTTTTAACTTTGGACATTTAAAAGTTTTAACAATAATACGTAAATAAACGCATTAAAACAATTTTTAAAATCAATATTATTTAAACATAAAATTGATGCAAACATAACACTACCTCTATTGTAGCCCTTTTCTCTCCTTGTATTTCTTGTATAAGCTGATATGCAATGTAATAATAAAGTGGTAAAGATGATGGAGTCAGTATTTCCTTAATGGAATCCTTAAATTTCCGATTATCAGCTCGCAATGTCCCGCCCATAGCATTTATAGATACTGATGTTGGATTGACTTTTTCTTTCATATTTGGTTCAACTGGTAACGGAAATTGATCGTCGTTGATACAAGCATGGTAATAGCTTTGTACTATAAAATATTTATTTAGAGAACTTAAGTCAACACCTTTATTCACAATTAATGTCTTAATACTGTTCCTAAACATTTCAAACCTTTAAAGATGGTAAATGATTGATTAAATTATTAGTGGTATATTTAGTAACATTTAAATTCAACCTGCTTCCAATGTTCCGAATATATTTCAGGCGTCATAACGTTATTTTCACCACCATTAGCAATTACTGTGTGAATGTCAGTACAGATTTCTTATCAAAGCCACGATAAAATAATTTCTGATAAAATGTCATTTGTATGATATATTTTTACAATGGTCGAAGTGTAGATACGTCAAATCGTATAGCATGTGGTACTGTAGACCAACCTATTTTCGGGGATAACTTTGTGGCGTCTGATCGACTTCACGGTTCTTTATTTTCATGCGTTGGTGCATTTCAGCAAAGATCTAAATTTAATATAAATTGCTAAAAAAGGCTAGAGGAATTAACAAAAAAAAAAAAATAATAGACATAAAAACACAAAATTTGATGAGAGGAAAAGCTTTAGATGAATATTACAATGATAATACGAAAACTCAAAATTCTATACCTGGTTTAATTTGGTCATTTTCTAAGTTGCCATAAATCTGGTCGTCATCTTCAGGTTTGTTTCGAGACCATCCGCTAATGATCGCTCTTGTTACTGCATCTGTAAACTCTTTAGGCTGTGTTTGTTTGTTTATATCAATTATCGTTAGCTGTCATGATAAAATAATTCATTCATTCTACTTTTCTACCACAGTTGTGGTTTGTGCAGTTTATACATAAACATGATTGCTGGAACAAGAGGACGCTTCAGCAATAAATATATATACCATATGTACGTCTTGATTTCCATTGAGAACTGTGATTGACAGTGTTCAAGTTTTATCTCATCTTTTTATGCACGATTTAAAAAACACAACTAAATGAAACAACCAAACAAAAACAAAAACAAAAAATGAATAGCTATATGACCTTTACCTTTGACCATGAAGCTCAATACAGTTTTTATCACCATTTGTCTTTAATGTCTTGTAACATGAAATGTCATCTATCTATTTACAACTTACCAAGCATTTGTTTTCTTTTATTGCTTTCATGATTGACTCGAGATCATTTCGTTGATGCTTTTGTGAACCAGAACCTTTGCTGACAAATTCTCTTTTCATAAGGTCATGAGAAGAAATACCAAATAACAGTGGTGTTTTGTACTTGATATATTCAGATATACTTATTTTATCGCTGAAAGAACATTTTAATATGTTTAACGTTTTATAATGACAAGGTACGATAAAAAAGACAAATTCATCTGACAATCAAATATTTCAAACTATTTCATATTATCAAAATTGATTAAAATGTACCCTTTTAATAAGATATACAGCCATGAAACTGCAATAAATTCTATTACAATGGCAATATTGTACAAAATATAGACTATTTGACCAGTACACGCTCAGAAATAATATAGAACACAACCGTCGCCGAAAAAGTTATTCAAACAGTGAGTAGTATTATGTGTTTCATCATTCTCTTGTATAGTTTGGTCGAGGCTTGTGCACTTTGTTAATTCAGCCAATTTGTTAGAATTATCTAATTTTAGCGAAACATCTGACAAATATCGCTTATAGCGCCACTTTAAATGCATCGAAGTCAAATTGTAACATCAAGAATATTCATATTCTTTGAAACGCCTATCTTTTTATGGTTAATGACATATAACACTGTGAATTTACTCGACAAAATCAACCCCAACGTGTACTTTATCCTTTTCAAGTGATAACATTATTAATACACTTGAAGTATGCAACAAACTTCCGATATGTATTGGTTTAGGGATCAAAGCTTATAAAAATTGTTAAGTACCTTAACAAAATATGTTGAATATGGTATTATAATGAATGTTGTACAATGTAGAGTAATGGTACCGTAAACATTTATAGGAGAGTCAATACTGCTTATTTCTTTTTTTATTTATTTAATTATCTAGAAATATCATATCTTACTTCTCAATGAATTCAGCAATAAAGTCAGCTGCTTTTCCCGAACCTTTTACAATCAGTATAGGCAAGTCTTGCTTCAGAACTTGGTCAACAGCTTCTATTGTATCTAAGTCACCTTCTGCTACTATTGTTAGAACTGGAACATTCCATTGCACTAATAATATGACAAACTGTATTATTCGTTATAATTACAAAAGTTAACAAGGTATTTGTTTTAATTATATAATGTAACAATGTATCTATAAAGGACTTTCCGTTTTGAGTATCCCTTGGAGTTCGATTCGATATTTTTGTTTTAATTTATTTTTTGTTATAACAATATAATGTTAAAATATATTTGATGTCGAACTGTGAGTCTCATCAGTTATACAAAAAATGAATCTTAATATTTTATTGTATTTGAAGAAATAAGTTGCGTCGAGTCGATCCGGAAAAATATCTTCATGCAACATAGATTGTACATTTGAATCTGTGAACAAAGGTTAGGTTAAAGTGTTGACATTTAGTGATAAGATCCCCCAATATAATTAAAGAACAAAAATGTTTTGGTGTGTACAGAGAGTTGATTAAGACACTATAAATATAAAGATAAAAAGACTGGTATGATTGTCACTGAGACAACCATCCAGTAGAAAGATTTAAGATAAAGTGTAGGTATTTACTGAATAAAAAAATTGTTACCATTTTACAAATCGAACTACTTGATATGTTTATCCTTTAATATCCCAAAAATATACGGGAGATAAACTGAATAGAATACGACGTAACAAAACCACTGAGAAACTAATATTTCTTTCTGGGCAACAATCATATTTCTATGTGATGTTTACAGCATTGTGATATCGTTTAACATTTTTAAAGTATTTTCGTAACAAAACAAAAATGACTTTTAAACCTCAAAGAGTCAACGTTTATTTTTTGTAAAATGTGTTTTTCTCTCATATTCTGACATACAATTTATTGAATGTTTATGTTTATTGTTTTCACTTTTAAGCAGTACAAAATATTGAATAAATGTTGCTATAAAACTCTAATAAATATTGTTCGCATTTGTAATTCAAACTTAATAAGTTGACTTGGTACTGTTTGGTAAATAATCACACTACAAACAATTCATCGTTATGTGAAACAATAACATATTAAATTGGTACGCATCTGTATAAAATGACACTTACACGGCTTGTCTTCGAGAGTCATGAAATTTATTTTGTTTTGTACTATTTCTTTAAGTACGGAAGCATGAAACTCAGCATATGACTTCTTCTTCCCTATCCAAATATGATATATTTCTCCAAGCAGACAGTCACTGTGCTTCCTTTGCCAATAGTCCTTACAATAAATAAAAAAGGTAAATATTAGATCAATTTTGGTCAGAAAGAAAGGAGTAGGCCCCGTAAGACTCCTTATTGGCCCCAAAATATAACGTTTTACAAAGTTGTTGAAAATGTTAACTTTTAGTTATTCATTGGAAAGTAGAATACTTTTGTACATAAATATGGGCTGTGTTTGACAATGCAATGGAAATCAGGTACTACCATCATTATTTCATGAAAAAATACTAAAGTCTTCACAATTTTTGCATTTGTTCTAATTTTAAGACGGTTGTTGTCTAAAATGGAAGCGGCCGCACTTGTGTTCAGTTTTAATATTTAAATATATGTTGTATTTGATAATAAAACATAACATATATAAATGTTTAGACTGAACATGAATTCCGCCACTTCCATTTTAGACAGAAACCATCTGATAAGTGACGTTTTATGGAATATTTGATAGATTTTTCATATCTAAGCTTGAATCTGAGCGTCTTTAATAACCAAAATCAGTTCAAATCTTTAACATAAACTAATTGAATCAACTAAAGTAGACACTTAAGTGTTTAAAAAATGTCAAAAATCTTTCATCAGACGTACTTCACATCTTAGGACGAAATTAGCTCTTACCGGACCTTCACCTTTTTAAAAGTTCTATTGTAATATAATTTATAGTAGGATGAGACGATTTACACAAAATGATAGAACTTCAATATAATAATTACATATGCATTTGGGTAAGAGCTTGCTTTTAAGCTACATGTTGAACAAAATTATGGTATTTTGTTCTACTTGTTATATTGTTCTGAAACCAAGGTAAATTGCTCTAATTGTTCTCTTTAGGACTTACTGGTTGTTTTACTCTTGTTAAAAATATTCAGGCTGCCAATCTTTTGGTCTTGTGCGAACCTTCGGAAGATTATTACAAGAGAATGCAATTAGAACTATCAAATTTTGTATAGGACTGAATGATTGTATTAAATTATTAGCAAAACAGGAAACAAAAAAGGAAGAGTCCCTTTTCGAGTATAACATAATAATGCGTTTAAAATAAATTAAGAGTTTTTTCGGAGAGATAACTCAAATAATGTTATTTCCCAATAAAGTATAGACAAAAGCCTATTTTGTATAAATAATTTCTTTGTTACAACCTAAGAGTTAATGAGACGAAATAAAGGATAACTGGTGCAAAGTGTTATTTTTTTTAAATGTGACGATAGAGTTACACCAACCTGGATAAAAAAAAAGAATTAAGATCTTTAGCTATAGACTGTATGAAGATCATATAGTCAAGAAAACAAATGACGTATGGAAAGTATGATTTGTATTATTATTATCACTTTTCTATTTATTATTGTAGGTTTTATTACTGACATTCATAAGCATGCAACTGTTGTCAACAAGTCATGAATCCATATGTATTGTTCATGATATGGTTCAGGAACATAATACATATCTTAAACCAATTGTATGGGAGAAATCTGGCGATATTGATACTTGGGTGCAAAAAATGTCTGCCGACATTGTACCACTTTTCGGTTTTGAGAAATAAATCAGTATTTTCGACTAGCTATTTTTTAATACAATATCTAAAATAAAAAAAAAAAAAATTAATATAAAAAAAGTCAAGTACTTTTTGTTTTTATTCTTTATTTTGTGTGTATGGAATTGCACTTTTACCGAAAATACATGGTAAAATTTGTTAAAGATACATGATGTGCATTGTGACTTCCAGATAAGCATTTAACCATTTTTCTATTAGGCAATATAATTTTTAATATTTCGTAGTAAAACACAATATAATGATTGATTGCAGAATACTAATGTTACCACATTTACGGAAAATGATTGCTATAGCATGAATGATATAATCCTACCCATCCGTATTTTTTTTCGTTTTCGTCATGAAGATGGATGCTTCTTTTACATTTTTTTTCTTCCGGGAGAATTCCCACTAGACTTATAAACACATCATCACCTTCTGATTGCAATGTATTAAAATCCTCAACTGCTTCTCTCACGATAGAGCTGACCTTTTCCGATGAACCTTTGTAGAGAATCAAACTGTCTGCAAAATATATTATATGTAACCAAAATGTGAATTAAGTTAACCTTTAAATGAAATACTTTGATATACGTTGATCTCAGTGGTTGACCTTTTAAAAATGTGTTCTGTAAAATGAAAGATTTAGTTAATAACTATTTGTTTTCATGCGTAAATGTTCATGTTCATTTGCATATCTATTTATAGCATTTTAATCAAGCAATACACATGGTAAATACATTATATATCGCAATAAAGGTCGATATTTTGCTTTTAACATCGTAATGAATAGCTATAACAATACAGTAACAGATGGTAAATTTTGAAATATTTCAACAGATTCTACGAAAACTAAAATATTTTTATCAACAGATAATACAAAAACTCTAATATTTTTGTTAAAAGATACTACGAAAATTTCATATCTTAAAAAAAACTGATACTACTTTTTTAATCAGTTATGCCTATGTTATTGTCAATATCAAAATGTATAATTTATACACTTTTGGGGCCATAAATAATGTTATATGTTATAATATTTTGGTTTGTGAGAAAAATCTGGGTGGTGCGATACTTTTTTCCATGTATATATATCCAATGTTGGTGGAAGCTGTAAATTTTGAAATAATAATGATAGTTTCGGTTTGCGTTTGCGTCTATTCCTACGGGACGGCTATGAATATTATCATTGGCGTTAAAAGCGTTCCTTGGGATTATTCTTCATTTCGGAATTCTTGTAACCAAGCATTAAAAATATATATCTATATAAATAGACCGAAAACGAACCATATAAAACGATATTGCTCCCTGTCCAAAATGAAGATATCGCATAAAAAAATATACACCCCTACTAAACTTGCAGTGACTTGTGAGCTTTTAACTGCGTCTAATGTTTTGCTGAAAAATACTTTTAGATGAAGAACAATGAATGCTATATTCCATTGCTTTTGGTATTGATAAGTGCGTGAACATGGTGAAGGGTGTTGTTTTATCAAGGATGAATAAAGCTTGTCTTTTTTTTCCCTAATAAAATCAACAAGCTGAAATATACCTTTTGCGCCTTTTGCGGTTTCTATGAGTCCTTGTTTGAATACTGATGTTATCCATGGTTTAGGTACAAAGCTTTTTGAATCACCAATGATAGACAGGACGAGTTTAGGTGGTTCTGGTTTCCGGCAGGGTTTCTTTTGCTGGTTTTCCAACTCATTTGTTTTCTTTTGCAGCAACTGTCGCAATTTTTCCCACAGCTCATCATCCTCCGTTTCTGCCATACTAGCTCAAATTGATAAGTTATTGCCTTTTTAATTAAAAGTAAAGTAATTATAAAATTATATGCTTAATAAATATTGTATGCAGTCTTTGACTTCTTACAGTGGGAAATCTTGTGAACGAGAACAAAAGAAAATTCACTCTTCTTATAATAGAGTCGAGAAAATCAATTTTAAAACAATGCTGCCGACGACACTAATCAAATGTTTTTCTAAATAACAATTGTATATTTTAAAGAAATTATTTGTTAAACTGTGATATAGATAAACATGGAAATACACGATGTTTTTTAATCTTCATTATTTATCGAGATAAATGCATAAGAAGCTTGTGAATCTAAAATCTAAAGAATGTAAGTTTTACTGCATAATGAAAGAAAAAATTGGACAAATCATGTACATACAAAATCTAAAGATCTTTCGGGTCACCAATTTTCGGAGTATGTGTTCCAAAAAGTCCTAACCATGTTACAATTTTCAAAAATATACTTATTTTTTTCACATCTAAGTTTTAGAGTACACCTGTCTG